TCAACTAAACGCTGGAGTTTCAAAAGTATGTGAAATATTTAAAGTTCGCGGCACAGACTCTTTAAAATACGTCCGAGAGTTTTACACACCGGTCTGTTATTGTGGCGACATTTTCACGCCCCGAAACGTGACAATGAACGAAACGAACTGTGATTGGTTGTTTGACATGTCGGTCAAACGGCCTCATGGGTGGGCCTTGGCCAATAAAAGCTGCCATGGATTCCAGACCGTCAGTCTGAAGGTCTGGCTACGCGAGACTAGGGTCAGTATTATTTATATATATATATATATATATATATTATACCTTTGTTCAGCAAGGATACATTTAATTGATCAAAAGTGACAGTAAAGACTTTTACATTGATACAAAAGATTCTTTCAAATAAATATTCATTAAATAATTATTTAAAATGAATGTTGTACTTATCTTTCTGTTCAAAGAAAACAACATATTAAAAACTAAAATATTAAGCAGCACAGCTGTTTTCAAAATTGAAAGAAAGATTTTTTTAATGAAATAAATGCAGCCTTGGTGAGCATAAGAGACAAAAACATTAAAATATCTCACTGTCCCCAAACAGATCTTTAAACAGTAGTGTATACTTCTCTGATAACATACCTGGATAAACATCTAGCTTGCTTTAAAGAGTGAACAATCAGACGTTCCAAGGAAGCCGCCAAGTAAGAGACACAGATGTACTTTGGCATTTAATTTGTATAACCAGCATTGAATATATTTGTTGTTGTTGTTGTTGTTTTATTTGCTTTCTGTTGCATCACTGTCCGTAAAAGTTTCCATAAGCATTTTTCTGTATAACACACAGAATTATGCATATTGGAAAATCTAAATGTGGCTTGTAGTGATTAATATGATAAGATACATTCCAGTCATAAACATTTTAATGCATTAGTTGGTTATGTTATATGAAGAGGTATGGGATGTATCAAAAATTTGAGGGTCCTAATACTTGACGACCACATTGCTTTTTACTTACTTGCTTATTTATTGATTGATGGATTGATTGTTTTTACATGTTTGAATATGTTGTTTGGCTTGGAATGGATCTATTCTATGGTAAATATCAAAACAAATCTGCTGAAGGCAGCAAGTGACGATCCTGCAACAATGTTTGTTGTCAATTGTTTACTGCAGTAAATTAACAATAAGAGGATTGGTGAAGAGAAGGATAAAACCTTTGAATACTGATCGAAAGATGAAAAATGGTTTATTAAGATGCGTCACACATTTATTTTTTATTAGTGTAGTTTTTATTTATTTATTTCAGACTGGTGTTTTGGTCCTGATATTTATGCCATTCTATCAGAATTCTACTGCTATTCTGTCAATGAAAAAGGTATTGGAAGATAAGCAAAATCATCATAATTAGAATTCAAAAATGTATGAAGAAAGCATACTTTTCCATATTGACTATAATTATAGGTTCAGTTACAGTTTTATTTTTTATTACGAATATATTTATTTATTTATTTAATCAGTTATGGTAAACCTGTGGTGTTACCTTGTGAACGTGCTCAATTCAAGAATAAAGTGACAAGATCATTGAAGAGTGTATCCTTCATTCTAGTGACTTTATTATTTATGTTATAGCATGTTCGAGGTTCAATATAATATTTGCATTTAATTAGCAGACACTTTTATCCAAAAGTGGCTTTAAAAAAATAGGCAAAGCTTTACAGTTTTTATACAGGAGCCTGTAAGAGCATGTCGATTATCCACAGAAAATTATTCTGAAAACCTTGAGGAAGAGCCCAGCAGAGTTATGCCATTGCACTACTGTGTTTTAAACAGCAGGGGGATCAGTGCTGGAATATATGTCCAGACCCACCGCTGTGTTCATAAAGATGCAAAGGCTTGCGGCTAAGGTTTCAGGAAAAAAAGCACAATACAATTGGATTTTTTTTTAATTGCTAAATTATTCAGAGCGATTTCCTGCAGGCAAACTGCATTATTGTAATGTCATTTCTTGGCACTGAACCTGCAACAACTGAGTTAGCAGCAGCACATATTCTTTTAACCATCAAGCTACTGTATCCCTTAACCGATGAAAAAGAAAGCATTTCTAGGCACTTCTGTAGTTAAATTGCTTAGTTTTGGGTGCAGTCCAGAACAATACAATGTAATCTGTAAAGCTTTTAAGATTATACAAAGGACCAAATACATGTGCTTAGGAATACTTGACACTGTGTACATCTAAAGAGAACCATTTAATTCAACAGTCCCACATGGAGGAGATGAATGTAACCTGGTTGTAGGCGAAGAGAGAGAGAGAGAAAGATTTAAATGGACAAAAGAAAGAGGCAGAATCGAAGGAACAGATGGACTTGGGCGGATTAAGTGAAATCTGGGTGGGTTTGTCATAAACATTCATTCCAGGTTGAGAATGAATAAAAGAAAACACAGTGAGAGACAGTGAGGTAATAAAAGTGAAACAGAGGTGAAGTGTCTTTACGGCTGAAGGTGGGTTGCATTTCCTTTTTTCTGTCTAAATGATATTTTTTGATAATGCATAAAATATTTTGTAAGAAATTTAATACCAATTTGACAACTTTTATGTGTGTGCATTTTGCCTTTACTTTTTAACAATTATTATAAAAAAAAAAATAGAAGTGGCATATATGCACCACATATATCTGCAAATATGGTGATGTAATGCTATTTTTTCCTCATGTGATCATAATAAAGATCTACATTTAAATCTACTTCATAATACTTAATCTGTCTTGATAATATGGTTTGATGCTTAGGTGTCTGGGGGGCTCTGGGCGGACCAGGAGAGACAGATGTACCTTTCCCCCAAAGATCATGAAGAGATCATGAAGGATTACAAAGAAAGGATTACAAAGAAATGGATGTTGGTGATTAAGACATACAATAAGAACGAAATTCTCAGAAAATCTCAGTAAATCTCTCCAAGAGACCAGGTGAGAGATGGGCAAAATCAAAGAGAAGAACAAGGTCGTTCTTGATTGACTGCACGACTTAAGACCAATTTCATCTATGTGCTGAGCTGAAGAACATGCATCTGGGAAACACCTCTGAATGTTCAGCATGAAGATTCGTGATCATCAGCCTCATCTCCATTGACTTTGAGGACGTATTGGCCACATTTGTTGGTCGTGGGACAAAGGGAACATGTTTAACACCTTCTGAGCCATTTCTGCATTTCACCCAGGACATTTTTATATGGAAACCTAAGGCACTGGCAAGTGTGTTTTCACATGCTCACATCTGTTTAATTTCCTTTAAATCCTCCGCTCATCATCTTACTTCCATTGACCTTTAATTCTGCCTTTGCATCTTCAATTTCTATTTGTTTCCGCTCATATAAAAACTCCTCCTCTCTGACTTTTGACATTTTGACATTGGTCTGCCACTTTAATCATTTCTTCTAGGTTTAGTAATCTTGCTTTCCCGTACACAACTGATCACATTTATGTCGCTCTTCCCTTTCCCTCGCCTCATCTTTACTAACTCTGATTTCATATGTAGATGGATACGCACACAAAGCTTCTTTCTTAGTATCTGAATGTTGTCTTTTCTTTGTTAATTGCAGTATCTGGTCCTGTCTGTATCAGTCCACCATGTTGGAGCATTTGTCCCGCAGGAATCGGTCCTTGCTGTCTCTCTCGCTGACCTCTCTGGCCCTAGCGCTCTCTGTTTTGGCCTTCTGTACCTCATACTGGTGCGAGGGGACACATAAAGTGGTCAAACCTCTCTGTCTGTCACCAGTCAAAATGAAGAACTGCGGGCAGAACAACAGCCAGCCTTACACAACTGGTAAGAAGGAGGGTCTCACAGCGAAGCCATAGAACCATCATTTTTGGTTCCCCAAAGAACCTTTCAGTGAACTGGACGATAACGCGGAGCCATATAGTTAATATCAGTAATATGCACGATACAAGGAAATGGTCAGTAACATCATCACTTTGAGGTACGATATCTATATCAGTAAGATCAATTCCATGCGATATAATTAAATCTAGCGTATGATTAAAACGATGAGTGGGCCCGGTGACGTTCTTAAATAAAATATCTTTTCTTAGTTTCCATGGAACCAGAGATGCCTGTACAACACCTTTATTTTTAGGAGTGTGCACTGTAAAACAATTCAAGCCCAACTTTAAATGTTAATGTTAGCCTATTGCATGACATTTTTAGGGAAAATCAAAACTGCATCCTGCAGGGATTCATTGCACTTTTCGAAAAGTTCAAACGAATACAGCCAACAATAGCTAACAAACTAAAATTGGGATATTTCCTTTATTATTCATAAAATCCTACTGACAAAACCCACAATGTATAGCTAATTGCCTTTTGAACAAACGGTCATCTACACACATCTACGTTTAAGTTGTAAAAAGCATGTGTTTGATTCATAAAAAAATAACCGAGTGGTTTTCATTACCCATTTTACTCTTAGTAATTTAATAATGTAATAAATTTCATAATTTAAAAGTTTAGTGCAGAAGTATTGAATCGGTATCGATATCGACGATACTGCCTTGAAAAATATCGGTATCGTATCGAAAACAAAATAAGGGGTATCGCCCATCCCTAACCGAATCATTAGAGCCTTTTGTTCAGGAATGGTACTTACCTCTTCATGATGTATATGTTTGATTCACTAAAAAGAATCTGTTCATTCATTCAAGAGTCATATATTCATGAATCAAACTACACTGGCTGCGTTGCCTGTTTTTGATTCACTAAAAGAACCGGTTCACAAGATTCATTTGCTTTGGAATACAAATGGACTGATCACGATGTTTGTTCGCTAGTATATGGAAACCCGTTCCCGCCAATAAAAAAAAAGTATTTGTGACTTTTTATCTCACAATTCTGACTTTTTTCTTGCAATTGCGAGTTTTCATCATTTTGACGTTTTTTTTTGTTTGTTTTTTTAATTGTTGGATATAAACCCGCAATTGTGAGAAAAAAAGTCAGAATTGCGAGATGTAAACTGGCAATTGTGAGAAAAATAAGTCAGAGAATTGTGAGATAAAAAGTTGCAGTTGCCTTTTTAATTTTTTATTCAGTGGTTTTTTTATTAAGATTGGGTTACGGTGTTGAATAAAACAGTCTATTTTAGGTATTTTAGTATGACATTGTGCTTGCGTCAGCAGAATACACTTGGGAGAACCTGTAACAAAACCAAACGTCATTCTGTTCTGGTATTGCTTTTAATGAAACAGGCTGTGAATAAGCTCCCAGTCCTAGTCATTGCATAACACACTTGATTAACATTTAGTAAGAAGAGTAAAGAGTGCAGCCTGTTTACAGATACAGATGTGTTCTTTAAAACTACTCATAACCACAGTAAAAAAAAAAAAACATAATCCCCTGAAAATAACCTACTGCACTTTCTAACTGTAAAGATCAGAGATTTACAGGTCAGTACTTGCTGTAGTGTAATCTTCCAGGTCAGACCTCTACAAATCTAATAGATCGTTTTAACCCCTCTTACACTGAGGGAGATTATCACTAAAACTGAATATTATGAAGGATTCAAAGTGAAAGGTTTTGCTTCAGATTAAGTGAACAATTTCATAGTTATAAGAGATATCTTGGAAAACACAATTCTAGTCAAAAGCAAAAATGATAGTGTGTGTGTGTTTGTATAATCGTACAGAATAGATTTGAAGCATTCAGTCAGTCTCTTTTTATTTCTCATTGTTCTTTTATTCAGTTCTCCAGTCTTCTCCACTCGATTCTCCCTCTTTCCACAGAGGTCCCAACAGCAGACCCCAAGAAAGCAGACTCCAATGTGACAATGTCCCCCAAGCAGAAGGAGGAACTGGCCCGTATGAGAGCCAAAAATCTTGCAAATGCAGTTCACTACATCTGGGAGACGGGTGAAGACAAATACATGCTGCGCTACTTTCACACTGGCTTCTGGTTGTCCTGTGAGAAACACAATGACGGGGCTGGTGAGGGCAAATGGTTCAGTATTCTTCTTTCTGATATCGGTTAGCTTTTAATGATGATGTTAAGTGATAAATCATCAAAATTCACTTTTATTGACAGTTATTTTGCAGCTGTTTGGCTGGAGACTTTATATAAAATTCCAATGAATGGAATTCAATTCGGGTTCAAAGAAAATGAGTAAAACACACTTTTAACACATAAAGCAACTACTGTCATACGGCCAACTTTCAAAGCTGTTCTTGATACTAATGTCCTGATTCAGTCCCTTTGAACATTTGTTTCCTGTTGTGGCCTTTCTTAACACTTATTTAACTGCCATGGGGTCACCCCAGTTCTCAACATCTGCTACAACAAGACAGTCTTACACAACACAGAGGACATGGCTGCAAGTTTCTTAAGTTACATAATGCACATCACTGTTTTTAAAGAGATAGATAGATAGATAGATAGATAGATAGATAGATTCCTCAAGATCAGTTGGCAAAGACTGTGCCTGTTCTTCACAGGTGAGAAATGTCGGAGCTTCATTGAACTGACCCCTGGAGAAACACAAGGTGAGATGTTTATGAGCTATAGATACAGAAATTGGCATTAAATAACTAATTTCTGATTCTGTTTCATATCCTGTAGGAGTTCTGTGGCTCTCAGTGATATCAGAATTTGCATACATCAGCCTTCTGGCGATGGGTTTTCTTCTGATGTGGGTGGAATTGCTGCTCTTGTGTCTGAATAAGGACATGTATGCACTCAAGATCAATGCTTTTGCTGCCATCTGTACCGTGCTGTCTGGTGAGTTTCTGAGAGCTTTGGGAAAAAATATGGTTTTTCATCAGTATGTAATGGAGACAAACAGGGAGAACAATATCTTTTCTACATTTCAGGTATGATGGGAATGGTGGCACATATGATGTATACAACAGTATTTCAGATGACTGTCAGCATTGGGCCCAAAGACTGGAGACCTCAGACGTGGGACTATGGCTGGTCATTTGCATAAGTCTCCATCTTTCTCTAATCCATCTTCTTTCTTTCTTTCTTTCAAATACCATGCAATAAATAGTGGTCTCCAAAAATCAGAGATAACATTGATAATCTGGGGTTCATTAAAGCAATAAGCCCCAAGAAGCCGTGGTTTACAGTGAATTTATAACAACTAAGGGGCGTTGTTAGGCACGACGCAAAGCGGAGTTTCACTGTAAACCGCGGCTTCACGGGGCTTATTGATTTTATAAAACGGTTATTCCATATACGTAGTAAGGTTTCACAAAATAAAACAGAGCAAATAAAGTGTAATGATATTAATAAAAACAGTATTCTTCCACCAAACAATGTAGTTCCTCAAATGTAAACAAAGGTGTGTGTTTGTAGAGTAATTTACAACAGCTTCGAACGTGACTCAGCCAATCAGAATCAAGGACCGGAACTATCCGTTTTATAATATAGAATTTGAAGCTGCAGTCTTTTGATAATTTTTATAATCTATTTTTAAATGAATAATTTTAATAATGTACAAAAGATATATATTAAAAATATAAATATTAAATATATTTATAAATAATAATTGATCAAATATTAAATGTTATTCCGACCAGTATACATTATTTCCCCAGTGGTTAAAAAAAAAAAAAAACAGCTTTGCATCATAGGAAAAATTACATATTACAATATATTAAAATATAAAACAGTCACTGTTAATTACAATACTATTTTACAATATTACTGTTTTTAAATGAATGCAGTCTTGGTGAATATAAGAGACTTCTTTCAAAAACCTTACAAAATCTTACCAACCCCAAACTTTTGAATGGTATAGTGTTAAGTCAAATGATTGCAAGATAAGTCAAATCATTTGAAACATTGGTGCTTCTTCCACAGCATGGCGTGGATCTCCTTCAGCTGCTGCATGGCAGCATTCAGCAATGCCAGAAGGGTGTGTTTATCGACACCACGTGGAGCCCCAGGGAGGAAGTGTCTGGTGGGGGTATGGTGGGGGCAAAGAGTCCTCATGGACTGGTACTGGTGGGAGGGTGCGGGAGAGAGGGATGCGAGGACTGTGAGAGAGAAATGGATGAGGTGGAGGATGAATTAGAGAGGGAAGGGAATGATGAAATGTGTTGAGGAGAACACCTTCAGGAAGTCCTTCATCATCAGCAGTATCAGTGACTATGTTTAAATGCATATCATTTTCTAATTTAGATCCATATTTTGGTTAGGCCTTTAAAAAAGAAGTTTACATGCACCACAGGTGTTGAAATATCCATGTATTCATGTAATCAGCATACTAGACTGTAATTTTATTATTCAATGTCAAACATGTCCTACATGCAAGAGTGAGAACCTTTGTGTCAATTTGAAATGTAGGTCTTGATGTTTCTTTTACTGTTTGTACAATAATAGTAAAAAAAAAAAAAAAAAAGATGTCCTCTTTGCTTCAAATATGTTTGTGTTCAGAATGCTTTAGATTTTAGAGTTTTAGCTCCATGAGTTCTGAGAACATTTGCGCTTTCAATTTAGTTTGGATCACGTCTGACTCTCTAGGTATTGTGTCAATCTGTACAATCATTCTTCACTTCATTATATTTTGGGCTTTCAATAAGATCACCAAGCACAATATATCAGATAATCTGAATATACAACAAGACGGAGTGATGGACAGATTACAAAAAAACAGGAATACCAGCAGCTTTAGACAGATGCTTTCAAAAGCTGGACAGAAGATTATGTGAATAATCTCCCCAGTAAGAGACGGAGATAAAGTGAGAGATGGAGAGAATGAGAAACGGTAAGAAAGAAAATCAGAATCACAAACAAAGAGAGGAGAGAGAATTTTTTGCATGTTTTTAAGCCAATGTTCACTTAGTGATGGTCATGTTACAGCATACATATTCAAGTTATGGTAAAAGCATACACGTAATTGCATATGTTACTATTTAATGTTCCATTCAATCAATAACTAACCTATAATATTCTATCTGGTGAAAAAAAATCTTTACACAACTGTTTTGCAATAACAATGTAATATAGTGTAAAAATGAACCAAAAGAAGATTGTTTGGATTAACATACAATGAAATGACACCATATCTTAATATGAGAGAATAATTAAACCATTTCAAATGGACACTAAACAATGGCATTCATCAACTGAACGCAAGCTGCAATCTAAAAAAAGACCATTAGAGTTATAAGATAGGCCTATGTGCCAAACAAACCTCTAATTCAACAAATGCATGACAGAAATCAAACATACCCTTAACCTAGAAATTACAGTCAAAGGGAACAAAATATATTTCAACTATTTTTCAAACAGGTATCTTTTACTTAAAGCAGCTGTATGTCGTTTTGTGTATTTTTTCGACTTTGGAGCCCCCTACAGTTAAATGAGAAGAATTCACTGTTGCAATCACGTGATTCTGAAGACGCACGATTCGGCGCGAAAATCAGATGGAGGGCAATGTGTATTTTTTCGACTTTGGAGCCCCCTACAGTTAAATGAGAAGAATTCACTGTTGCAATCACGTGATTCTGAAGACGCACGATTTGGCGCGAAAATCAGATGGAGGCCAGGAAGTGAAAAGCAGAATGGATGAGATGGAGGAAAGTCCGTACTGTACTGGTTTAGACACTATAAGGTGCTTAATTTGTAAATTAAACATTGCCGGATCCAAATCAGCAGTTAAAAGGCCCCGTGACCGACACTGACAATACAACTTCAGTTTTCCCGGAACATTCAATGACGTCACTAAACGGCGATGACACAACTATAAAAGCATCGTTCACAAGTTTCTGCATGGACCTAGGTTTTCAAACCATGGGTCAAAAATGGGTCGCCAGGATGATTTAAGGCAAATTATGTAAGTTACATTAAAAATAACAAAATGTGTTTCCATAAAACTAAAATATAATCATAATCTATATAGAAAAGGTATAAATATGCGAAACATATCTGACATAAATAATTAACAGATATAAAACAGATGTGAGGCGCAGCGATCCGCAAACAAGTTCACGGGAAGGAAACCGAGATGAGAACGCGCATCCTGTTTGTTTGCTTAATTACAAAAACACAAATGTTCTTTTTATTGCGAGCTGCAAAAATAAAAGTAAACATTTACATTTAGTTATTTAGCAGACGCTTTTATCCAAAGCCACTTACAAATGAGGACAAATGGAAGCAATACAAATCAACAAAAGAGCAATGATACGCAGGTGCTATAACAAGTCTCATCTTAACGTGCACGTAGCAAAGTTTTTTTTTTTATTATATAGGCCTAATAAATAAAAAGAAAACAGATAGAATAGAAAAAGAATAGAGCAAGTTCGTGTTAGAGGCCTTTTTTGCTTTTGTTAATTGTAGGCCACACATACATACATACACACCACATATTCTCGCAATTCAAACTCGCCATCACAGTCTGTTCATTAAATAAAATACACAAAATAAAATACAGTCAGCCAAACATATCAATTTAAAGAGTCCGTGTATAACCGGTCTACAGCTGCTAATGCCAAGCACATTTTTGCACATGCGAAGAGGATGATTTTTTTTTCTGTCGATATGCGAACGCTTTGTTTTGGTTTCTTTAGCTTTATATTTTTTTTCATTCTTGATCTGTTCTGCATATATATTTAAATGATTTGTTTTGGAGTGAGGGGAACTAGGCTATGATTAATTTTCGTACACGATAAAAGCTCCTTGTGGTTTCTCGGTTTGACCAATTTGAGCGTCCATAACGCAAAACATAGTCATTTTGAGTTTATGCTAGATTCCTATATAGAAAATCACTTCCTTGCCTCCAGCTGCATTTTGCGCCACAGCAGTGACGTCATGGGCAAAACCTATTACAGTGGACAGCTACACGTGCATTTGTTGCTGCTGTAAAGCACAGGAGTGTGGGAAACAGACAGAAGCCATTTATCTTATTAGATGTGAGTGTACCATCAGAATGATTTTGAAACTGATACATCTACATAAACCCGCAATCGCTCTGTCTCGTATGTACGCATGCACTGTCACGATAATGCACTTGTTAATGCCGGATCTTTAAAAACAAATACCGGAATGCAAAAATCCAAAATCTGACATTTTCTGGAACAGGATCTGGCTCAAATTAAGCACTGGAAAGGAATAAACAGAAAATCACAACATATGTTGGACGTGATCCTTATGTTATGAAGATGAGCAATTTTTCAACTAAATTGAAAAATCAATGTCACATTGTTTCGTTATAACTGATGAAGCTCTCTAAACTGCAAATATAATATAGCCTGAAAACTAATCTAGCCTGAAAATAAGCAGAATGATTTTGAAACTGATATTTCAAGGTAAAAAAAAAAACTTACAGTTGCTTTAATAAAAACACGTGAAACTAGCAGAACACAATGGTGACACACAAATTAAGGATGGCGCATCTTTAATGAAATGTTTAATATAACAACAAATGCACAGGAAGTCAAGCATGACAAAACCACTGTTTGCATGAACATGATCATGTTGGGTCATTTATGGTCGTACTGAATGAGCCGCAGAGCAATCTCGTTTGACTGAACGGCCTCAATGAACTCTTCCTCTGCGACTCGTTCTGCATGTGTGAGAGAGAATTTACTTTGTAAATGTTTTCTCTGTATGCTAATATCAATTAACAACGAATCATAAGAATCTTAAGTTAGCTTTCTTACCATTGTCCTTTTTGTCAAAGATGGCCCAGAGTTTCTCTGCTCTCTTCTCTGGAGTGCTCTCATCACTGGGAAGATTTGCCTGCTTCGCTTTTGGTATGAGATTGAAAATTGCCTGATGGGAAATGAGAGAGAATAGGATCAAATGACAGAGTTTTTGGCTTGAATGAACTCACCAAATCCATCAAAGTGAATACGGAATTTTCATTTGAATCACTGTAGTTTTACTGCCAGTTTATATTTGAATTAGACTACTGTGCCACTATAAGAAAGCCAAAATACAAAATCTGTATATTTCACACTTGTGTCTTTGTTAATGGGTCAAGTAATAAATTTTACCTTGTAGATTTCTATAGTGTATTATGGGTCTCAACATGTTGCATGTTAGGTTGTAGCATTCTTTATTAAAAATGTTTGAATGTTTCAGTTCAGTCAGCGTCATAATTGCTGTACAGGACATACTTATGATTTTTTTTTTTTTTGTATGACGATGTTGTTGGCCATTACATGGACCTATTCTTTGGATAACATCTCATGACGCACAAACCTATTTCCAAATATGTTATTTTGTCCTGTAATCCATGCTTAGCTTAATTTTAATGGATTGTGTTTAGGCTATGTGTTAAATTTATTTCTCCTCGCTTTCCCTCAGCTCCCTATCTGTTTGGCCTCAGTGCTGTATATGTCTTACTCCTTCTTCAGAGCTTAACTTGCTTGTTTAGTAATTAGTTTGCATGCTGATTCGGCTCAACCTAATATAACTGAAGTTACCTAACAATAGGCCAATACAAATAGATGAAATGGTGCCAGCTGTGCCAAATTGCCACAGCATGGCACTGCCAATCTTACTTGAGAGCTTTAGCAAGATAATGAGGACAGCCATGTCTGGAGTGCACTTCTAACTCAAAACAAGGTGAAAAAGTGTAATAAATAAAAGACTAAAATGAACAGACTTTCAATTACATTAATCACTCTGTAACCATAAATAAATATCCGGAAAATTTGTTATGCTGAAACAGAAATTAGAAATGTTTCAATAACCATTTAAATGTTGGTCTGTTCACACAAAACCAGTTGTATAAATTCAGAAGACCTGGAATATAGTGCGTAAGACCTGTTCGCACCAAGAACGATAACTGTAACGGTAATTACAACTATAATGTTTTAAAAAAACAACTATAACGATAACGACACCGAGAAACAATATCATTTGGAATCACTTTCAGAATTATTTTTACCCTGCTGACGGATAATAAAAAACCTTGATAGCCAATCAGAATCCAAACGACTTTAAAGACCTCAAGCATTTAAAGTTTCAGACGACAAAATTGCCGTGCGAACTTATAATGAACAGAACATTATAATGCATTGGTGTGGACACTGTATAGTTATCATTATAGTTATTGTCTTTTTTTGGAGCTCGACAACCCTCATTCATTTTTACTTTATTCAGTGATAAGCTTTTCTCTCTGTGTTCCATGAAAGAAAGTCATGTTTGGAATGACAAGAATTTTTATTTTGTGGTGATCTATCCAATAAACTGCTCCAATAAACCAGGCGAAATTAGTATTTGACACATCTGAGAATGCTAATCAGTGATCATTCTCAGTGATTCTGCAAGTGTCTTCTATACAATTAATTTTCTGTCATGGTGGAGCTACTACAGTTTGAAGAGAATCTTGCTGAGCAAATTAAAGTTTACAAATGATTATCTTAATTAAACACATACAGTAATGGCACAGACATTTGAATGAAAACTATATCATCCCCTTGAGTACTCATGTACCACAATTCACAAGTATTCACAACTGAGCGTTCTCGGTTGTCATAATCCAAAAGACAGCCCTGCTTTGATGTAATATTACACTATAGTTTATTTTTGAAGGAAAGTTTACTGTTTTCAGATGATATAACATAAGGGGTATCATTTATTCTGTTGATTCATACTACAACATCTCTGTCCAACAGTTTACACTACTCCCTGGGAAATTGA